AGCTTTACTGTCGGCTCCCAACATCTCCCCCATCTTTTTTTGAAGAAGAAGTGAACCCGCCTGTCTCAGGTTGGGTGGGTCACCTTGTCTGCCTTACCCGTCTTTGGGAACTTCTTCAGAGCAAAGCTGAAGGCCCTGTCTTAGGTTGGTCAGACTGGCACCCCCTCTTACCCGTCTCTGGCTGCAGTTCCTCTCGGGAGAAATTCATTTATTTGGAGCTTGATCTTATGTAGCTGACTGGCTAAACACGTAAGAAAGTTTTGCAGGGCACATATGATACAAGGAACGCAAAGAAAAACCAACAATAAAAGTTCACCGGGGCCAAGCAATGTCATTAAAAATCCTTTAGCATTAGACAGGGAAGGGATATAGTGTTGAAATTGTTCAAACAGCTCGTTAGCTATTTTGGCCACTTCAGTGTCCAGCGGTGGGGCTTGTTCTAATCCGTCAATTTGCCTGTGAAGCTGAAAATGATCTAAATACAAGTTATTATGGTGCCAGATACCATTAAGATGTGCTACAACCTTTTCCCATGAGTAATTTGATTCATTATATATATGAGGAGTCACACAAATAAAATCAAACCTGGCATGACAGCGCACTCCCTGTAAAGTTTGCAGAGCGCGAACTTGTTCTCCTAAAGATAATACTGACTTATATAAAGCTTCTAGTTTTTGTTCTACCTTATCATCAATCCTACCTTGAAAGTGTAGAGCCTGTGTAGTATTATGAGCAAGCTGATTAAGATAATGGGCAGTTTGTACATTTCAAATTAGTGCCACAGCAGCTGCTGCTGAGGAGGCAGCTAACGAAATAAAGGCTAGAACTCCAGCTATAAGTAGCCCAACAAACCTACAAGGGCACATTAGTTCTTTCAATTGTTTTAACACCTGAATACCAGAATCTTCATACCAAGTTTCAGAAATATTTACAGGAAGCATAACAAAAGGTGGTTGTCTAACAATAAGTATGGATTCAGTTATGCCACTATATAAGCAATTAGTAAAAGAACAATTAGAAAAGGTAACATTAAAATAATTAGCTCCTACTGAATTATTAAATGGTCCATACATAATAACATGGGGTGGGGATACACAACTCATAATTTTTTTAAAAGGGATGAATTGGGCCAAGTTATATTATTAAGTGCAGCCACCTCCAAACATGATGTCGAGGATGCCCATTCATCCACCACAATCCAGGACTGAACTTATTAGTAAGATTAGCTCCAGACCAATCCAATAATTGAGAATTAGTTCCAGAAATATTGGTAACAAATGGCTGTACATGCCTGCACCTTATTGGATGAGGCTCTCCTGTAGATTCTATCTGTGAAGAATTAATGCAACGGGGTATCCTATAAGATGGAGTAGAATTTGCATAAACTAATTGGCCACCTGGCAAGGATGTCATTTGTATATTGTACATTAGATTTTTGTCTGGGATCCGAATTTTATGAGTCATGGATTGCATAAAAGTACAGCCTGGAATGGAGCTTTAAAAATTGGTGGTAAAACATAAAGGAGTTCCAACACCTGAAGCTGAGAAATTTCCTTTTTTTATATATTGGATGAAAGGATCGGGGGCTGTACCGTATGCTGATCTATTAACATGAATGAGTACTTCAACTCCCTCCCAGGTGGCTGAGTGCACAGTCGGGGAATCCGGCATGTAAGCCCAATGGGTCAGCGTTTGTGTCATCTGCATGAGTCTCCACAATCCTAACGCAGCGTTCAGGCAACCAGCGGGCGTCATTTTCTTCCTGCGAGAAAACACAAACATATCCTCGACCCCATGTTAAAACTGTATTGGGCCCATGCCAAGCACCTGTTAAAGGATCCTTCCACTTTACTTGAGCAAAAGCTCTTTGCTCTCTTTTTTCCCAAAACCGCTGTGCTGCAGAAAGGCCATTACAATCTAAGTTTAAAAAATTTAGTACAAACAAAGCATGAGAAAGAATATTAACAGGAGAGATGGGGTATAATTCCCCACCTTTCAATTTAAAAATTTGATGTTTGAGCAAACCATTAGCTAGTTCAACAATTCCTTGACCTTGAGGATTATAGGGAATACCTGTAGAGTGAATAATCTGTTAAGATTTACAAAAATTTTGAAAAGCTTGTCCGACATATCCCGGACCATTGTCAGTTTTAATATAGTTAGGAAGTCCCATAGTGGCGAAACAACGCAGAGAATGGGAAATACAATGCTTGCTAGTCTCCCCAGCAAGGGGAGTAGCTATAATAAAATTAGAATAAGTATAGTAACATGAACAAAGCGAAGCCGTCCAAAGGATGGAATATGAGTAACGTCCATTTGCCAGATCTAATTGGCAACTAAACCTCGAGGGTTAATTCCAATGGAGGGCACTGGTAAGAAAGTAGTACAACCAGGACAGGTCTTTACAATTTGACGAGCTGCCTCACGAGTGATTTGGAATTGTCGGCGTAAAGCACGACTGTTTTGATGATGGATGGCATGTGATTGTTTTGCCAAATCAATTTGAGTAAGAAAAACTTGAGTAGCCTTGTCTGTAATAGCATTGCTCTCACTTAATGGACCAGGAAGTTTATTATGGGCACGTATAAATCCAAAATAACATGGACAAGTGCGAGAGTGAAGAAGAAGCTGTATTTGGCGAAAAAGAGTTTGAATAGTGGAATTTGCTGTTCCAAGAAAGGGGACAGTTTCAATAACCCGAAGGGCTCGAATAACATAATGACTATCTGAATATAAATTAAAAGCACTAGTAGGCAGAAGCGTAAGGGCCTGTAAAACTGCTTGAAGCTCAACTTCCTGGGCTGAAGAAAGACCGGTATCCCAGGATGTAGTATTTCCATCAATAGTAAGAGCAGCCATTCCATTAGATGATCCATCTGTAAACACTAAGGCAGCCATAGAAAGAGGTGATAAAGATATCACGTGAGGAAATATGAAAGTATAAGAAGAGGCAAATTGAAGCAATTTGTTAGAGGGATAATGATGTGAAATTGTGCCCATAAAGTTAGCCCAAGCAATAGCCCAGGAATCACAATGAAAATAAAGCCATTCCTGCTGTTGTAATGTATAGGGAATATAAATAACATGTGGATCTCGTCCAAGATATTTACAAGATTCCACACGGCACATGTGAACTAAAGTAGCCACCAATTCATAATAAGGAGTTAATACTTTTGAAGGAGTAGCAGATAAAGAAAGCCATAGAAGGGGTCCCTTCTGCCAGAGGACCGTTGTGGGAGAATGAGGTGTAGTTAAAATATAAGCTTCCCAAGGAGCTGAATAATCAATATAATTTACATGTTGGGAAGAGATAGCAGAATTTACTATTTTTAAAGCTTCAGCCACTTCAATTGTTAATTCTCTGAGGGATGCAGGGTTAGGGTCTCCTTTTAACAACTCAAATAAAGGTTTTAATTCAGCTGTAGATAATTTAAGATAAGGGCAAAGCCAATTAATATCTCCCAGAAATTTCTGAAAACCATGTAAAGTAGGCAAATGAGAAGTTTTAATCTGTAATTTTTGACTAGTAAAATAATAAGGACCCAAAATATAACCAAGATAAGTGAACAGAGGATGCTCTTGCACTTTATCATTGGCTACAATTAATCCAAATGAGGTAAGGTCTAGTTTTAATTGTCCAAAAGCTTGTCGTAGTACTGTAGGGTTTAAATGAGCTAACAATATATCATCCATATAATGAATAATATAAACGGAAGGAAATTTTTGGCGAGTAAAAGAAAGAGCCCACGCTACAAACTTTGACACAAGGTGGGGCTATTTGCCATGCCTTGAGGCAATACTAACCAATGGTACCGTTTTATGGGTTCTTTAAAATTAGTAGAAGGGACACTAAATGCAAAACGTTTGCAATCTTGAGGGGCAAGGCGTATGGTATAAAAACAGTCTTTTAAATCAATTATTATTTTGTATGTATTTTGAGGAATGGCCATTGAGGAGGGCAAAACTTGTTGTAACGGCCCCATAAGTTCCATAGTAACATTTACTCGCAGGAGATCTTGAAGAAGTCTCCATTTTCCAGATTTCTTTTGATAACAAAAATAGGTGAATTCCATGGGGAAGTAGAGGGAGCTATATGGCCCAATTCCAGCTGTTCCTGCACCAGCTGCTGGGCAACAATAATCTTTTCATTTGATAGGGGCCACTGATCCACCCACACCGGAGTTTTTGATAACCATGTAATAGGATAGGCGTGAGGGGAAGGATGAGCAGCAGCCCCCGCTAAAAATATCCTAATCCTAGTCTATTTGGTCGGGGCTGTGGCTGAATGGGCTCTCGAATGCCTTGCTGACCAATCCCCAGTCCCCCTGAAGGTAACAGTCCTTGATCTAAGAGTTGTCGAGTGACTACATCATTTGGACTAAACAAATAAACTCCCATTTTTTCCATAATATCTCTCCCCCACAAATTAATGGGCAAATGATCCAGCACATAAGGCTGAAAAGTTCCAGAATGGCCCTCATCATCTTTCCAATTGAGAATAGCACTGCATTGCTGTGGATCTGTAGCATGGCCAATTCCTTTTAAGGATGTGAGAGAGGCAATAAGCGGCCAGTGAGAAGGCCAATATTTTTTAGCTATTACAGATACATCTGCTCCAGTATCCAGCACACCTTGAAAAGGCTTTTCTTGAATATAAATTATAAGTTCAGGCCTTCCTTGTTTTATATTTTGAATCCAAATTACATCTGAGGCCCAAAAATATTTTGTGCCTCTAGAGACAGAAGTAACAGAATTTCCAACAGAGATTAAAGGAACTAGGACCAGCTGAGTGATTCATTGCCCAGCAGAAATAGATATAACTCCAGTAGGCGCTGAGGCCATAATTTTTATTTCTCCAGTATAGTCTTGATATATCACTCCTGGGGTAATATGTAGGCCTCTCAATTCCAAGCTACTGCAGCCTAATAACAGACAAACAATTCCTTTTGGAAAGGGGCCAACTATGCCCGTAGGCAGAGCTTGAACTCCCATCTCAGGAGTTAATACTGTGTAGGTGGAGGAACAGAGGTCCAATCCTGCACTTCCTGGGGTTGCTCTGAGGAGACTGGAAACCGTTTGTTTTTGTTGCTGTTGGTTGCCAGCAGGTAGGCTTGAAGCTGTGAAAAGGACAGGGCTGCCCCGTTTTTTTGTTGAGGGGCCAGGGGCTGGCCCCTCTGCCAGTTTTCCAGAATCGGATGGCCAGCACTATCAAAAGCAGATTTACAATCCCTGGCCCAATGTCTTCCCTTATTACATCGGGGGCATCTCCTTAGTTTAGCTCCCTTTTTCTGATTAGGACATTGAATTGTTAGATGGCCCATTTGGCCGCAAGAAAAACAGCTGCCAGGAGGTCCAGCAATTTGGGGACATCTTCCTCCATTTTTGCCTCCCTGGGGAGAGCGGAGGAATTCAGTTATGGTTTGTCCCTGAAGTGCAGCAGCCAGTGTGAGGCCCTGCATATAGGATGAGCCAATGTCAGCACAGAGCCGAATATAATCAGTTATTCCTCCTTTTTTTCTAAGTGGTCTAATGGCTGCTTGGCAAGCTGCATTAGCATTTTCATATGCCAATTGTACAAGAACCATACCGGCATCCCCATCTTGGATGAGACGGCTTGTTGCCTCTAGTAACCGAGAGACAAAGTCTTGATAAGTTTCATCTGGTCCTTGTCTAATTTTAGAAAGATCCTCAGTCTTATTAGAGTTAGGAAGTTTCTTCCAGGCATGCTTAGCAGCGGCATTAATCTGAGCATATGCGCCCACAGGGTAATTTAACTGGGTATGGATGTCATTATAAGCACCTTCCCCAGCAAGCTCTGCAAAAGTAGTAGTTATATTATTAGCCCTATTAACCTCTGCTGTGGCCTGACACTGTTCCACAAATTCAGACTTCCACAACAAGTAATCTCCTCCACTAAGATAAGCTCTGGCTAATTGTTTCCAATCATTAGGGCATAAAGCATCAGTGGACAATGTTTCCAAAATTACCTGCGTAAATGGAGCTGTAGGTCCATATTGAGCGCAAGCGTTTTTCAAGTCTCTTATTTGTTTAAATTGAATAGGTTGGTGAGTTCTTTGTTGGTTTTGGTCCTCCATTACAGGAAATAAATGAAAACCAGAAATATCCTCCCCTCTTTGATCAGCCTGTGCTAATGAGAGCTGCAAGGCACTATGCCTGGGAGGGCAAATAGCCCCTGTCCAAAGAGGGAATTCATCATTAGGAGGACTAGATAATTTCAAAGGCCTGGGTCAACTAAGCTGCGCAGACCAAGCAGACTGCGTCTGGGGAATAACAGGCAGAGGGGGTGGCGGAAAGAAATCTGAGTCCCCTAGAGCTGTTAAAGTGGGCTCACAAACATCCACCCTTAAAGGGGGTCGTTGCATTGCTTCAATCTGTGACAATTTTTTCATAAAAGAATTTAACATTTCCTCAAAATGGACTGTTTTATCCTCAATAGGCTCATCATATATTTTTTCCTCAGTATCTGAGTCATCTGACTTTTCCTCAGCATCCGAGCCATCTGAATTTTTCTCATTTTCTGACTCAATAGATTCAACTTTTATCAATGTATTTGATTTCTTTTGGGCAGCAAGTATGTGCTCCTGGGGCAGGGCGAGACTCGTTACCCTGTCCAACTTTCTTAATCAACTGATTAAATTTTATTTGTTCATGTCTGGGGTCCAGAGAGTCTCGAACTAAATTCCAAAGTGTAAAAGCATCCACTGGGGTTTTTTCAGGGCCACTTGCATCATAATGCTCCTGAATCATTTTTCCTATTTTTTGCCAAGTTTCTAAACTAATGGTTCCTTCCTCCGGAAACCAGGGACATACTTCCTCAATAAAGCGAAAGAAGCTCTCTAATTGACTCTGTCCAACTTTTACTCCTAGAGCTTGAAGCATGCCCTTAAGAGCCTGCACATATAATGTGCAGCTGTTTCCTTGACCCATAATTTCTTACTCCCGACTATACTATCACCCACTCTTTTTCCGGACACGTACTCTTACCTTAGCGGGGTCCTCTGCCTTGATCCCAGGTTTTCAGGGTCCCTGTTCAGGCGCCACTTGCCGGAACCAGCCGGCAATGAAAGAGACTCCTGATTTAGGGGGCGAGGACGGAAAAATAAAGACATAAGACAAAGGATGGGGTCGGGAGGTCTGCAGCTCAAGACTGCGGCCCCGTTTATTTTTAACTCTCCTTATTTGTACTATTAGAAGTCAAGGGGTAGCCTAAGGTCACCATAGTGCAGAAAAGCAAGGAAAATTTTAATAAAAACAAGGGTGCAGAAAGAAACAAGACCAGGTCATCTGATAGAAAGTAAAACAAATTCTACAGACATAGCAAGGCAAACCCGGACACCTGGTGTTTTTCATGAAAGCCAGTTTCTTGTATGTGCCTTCAAGTGAGCACAAGGGTCAAGATGACGTTGGACCTTTACTGTCGGCTCCCAACAATTCTTCCATTCTCCTTTTTACAAAATTACGTGATTATAAAGCGTTATTTAGAAAGGAAGTGGCTTCACGTTCCACATAGAAGTAATGCTTTCTCTATATCACTCCCAGAAATCTACATACTCAGCAAAAGTAGGTGCACTGAATCCTTTGGGAAGATTAATATTGACTTCATCATTCCTTTGGGGGAAAATTAAAGCCATATTTGCACTTTTTTGTTGATTGTGGGGATTGGACACTGATCCTGGGCACTGTCTCTCAGCATTTCAGCTCAACTTGAATGCTGTACCACTTTAGCTACAGCACCACTTCTGGGTATCTGATGGCTAATTGAAGATAAGTGTTTCATGGACTTTCCTGACCAGGCTGGATTTGAACCACAATCCTCTGGTTTTAGCTAGGATTAGAGGCAAGAGCCACCAGCACCCGGCTCATATTTGCATTTATGTTCACTTAATGACACTATGTAGACAGAGAATGGAAATTTGAACCAAATGATGACATTGCAGCTTTTCAGAAAAATTGAGGTAGCAATAAATATCTCCTCCTTTTCCATTTTGTTACATTAATGACTCATGAGCTATGGGGCCCTTACATTAGCATCCTGTGACATATGTATAGGTGTATTTAGTATTAGGAAATGTTCATAGAGAAATATAGAAAGACAGATTTTTAGAAAACAAAGGATATCAGGTATGAAAGAACAGCATAGAAGGAGACACATTTATCTAGCCTAAGAGATTTAGAATGCTAAAGCAATGAGGAATAAGCCTAGTTGATAACTAGTTCTTCAATAACCAAAAATGGTTCACTAGAACTGTTTCTGCTATACCTTAGCTACTATCATTTTTTTGCTTCCATCTGGAGTTATTCCTTCTCTTCTATCATGACTGTTAATTATCTTCTGCCTTTTTGGTGCTATGACTGGCCAAAATGATTTCCAAATCTCACTTAGACTACCCTTCTCATTGTGATTAGCAGTGACCCCTCTCAAAATCCTGGAATCTTTGAATTTCCAGAATTAATCTTCACCTGACATCTAAGCACATTCCTGGCATTAATTGCCCTGACCTAATGAACAAAACTTTTTTTCAACACAGTATCCTAATATAGGTAATGTACATGAATTAGGGACTATTATCAAGTATCAGTATGGAAGGAACAATTATATATTCCAAGTTTGGATTCTTTATTTTGCATTTACTAACTAAATGTTCATTGTTGTTGTTGCTGCTGTTGTTGTTTTGGCAGTCCTGGGGCTGAAACTCAGCCCTTGGGAATTATTCCTCAGCTTTTTTTTTTTTTTTTGCTCAATTCCTACCACTTGAGGCACAGGACCAATTCCAGTGTTTCTTTTTCTGTTTATGTGTTACTGAGGAATTGAACCCAGGGTTTCATGCATGCTAGGCAATCACTTTACCATGAAGCCACATTCCCAGAACCCTAAATGACTCTATTAAGATGACATTAAATTTTCATTCCATAGCTATGTATCATAATTTTAACCAGAAATTTTTGCTAGAAAAGGTCATTGATCACAGTACTGAATCCAGTAAGGCTAGATAGACAATGAATAACTGTCACGGTTCACGGTCTAGCCAGGGCACAGAGGGACTTACCTCATGGAGCTGATACAACAGACTGAGCGAGACAGCTCCTGACCCACAGCCCACCTCCAGAATGAGAGGGCCACCTTGGTATCAACTACATTGGGGATGCTGAGCCAACTCCTCCAGCACCCATTCAATCAGTTCCTGAGAGAGAGAAAAAAAAAAGAAAGAAGGTCACAATTACATTTAAGCCAGGTACCTGTTGCTCAGGCCTGTAATCCTAAGTACAATGGAGGCAGAGATATGAGGATTGTGGTTTATAGCCAGCCCGGGCAGGAACACCTGTGAGATTCTTATTTCCAAAGAACCACCAGAAAACTGGAAGTGGTCCTGTGACTCAAGTGATAGAGTGCTAGCTTTGAGCTGAGGAGCTCAGGGAGCTGGCCCAGGCCCAGAGTTCAAGTCCCACGACTGAAAAGAAGTGGACTTCCCACCACAAGAAGTAGACTGAATAACACCTATTGTCCTAGGGAGCATGGCAGAGAAGTCAGGCCGAGCTTCCTGTCAGCTGGGAGTCATAAGTAGGTCACCCAGCTTCTCTGTGCTTCAGTTTCCCCAGCTTCAAATCTGAACAAAGTGAAGGATCCTGTTCCTCATGGGGATTGGGTATTAAAGAAAGAGAGTCGTGTTTTGTTTCATAATCCCATACCTGTCACAACATTAATAACACACACCATCTGAGATCTCTCCGGGTATTTTCTGTCAAATACTCACAGAACTGCCAAGAACCGTATCTAACAGCCCCTAACTCTGTGCCTGGCCCTGCTCTAGAGATCCCTCTGTATTAATAAATTGTTTTCTCAAAACTGTCCCATGAGGAGATTGAAGTCCAATGGTTGAGGCCCAACCCAGAGCTTCACCTGTGGTCAAAAATGGGCTGCTGTGGACTGAGTTTGTGACAATCCATCTAAACCACTGACTGAGCGTGGCTCTACATGTCTACCATCCCAACTACAGAGGACCGAACCTGGTGGCTCATGCCTGTCACAGATAGGAGGACTGTGATCCACCCCAACCTGAGCATATATTAAGTCTCAGAAATGCCCAAGACAGAAAAGCTGGTAGAAGACCTGACTGGCAAGCCTAAGGCCTTGAGGTCAAACCCTAATATACCAAAAAGAACCAGACTCCCAGTGCCAGAGGCTCATGCCGATAATCCTAGGTACTCAGGAGGGTGAGATCTGAAGATCACAGCTCAAGATTTAAAGTAGGGTTGGCCTCGCCCATCAGAGATCATGATTGGAAGACCCAGAGTCTGACCTATGCTGTTGCACTCCATACTAGCAGGACTCATATCTTTACTAAATGTTGGCCATGCTCTCTGTCTTCCGGGGAAGCCTTCCCCTGCAGGCTGCACTCCTAGGTCCTCCCAAGTTCCCACTGCCACCAAACAGGCCCAATGGAGTACACAGTTCCAGGGCACACAGATCCCTTGTTCTTGTAATTTAATAGTGCTGTGTCCCGTTCAAGCGTCTCACGTTTCCAGGCTCCTAGACCTCAGCTATGATGCCCATGCATGCCCAAAAGATAGCAGGTAGAAGTTACCAAAGCATTCAGCCTCCTTGTTACCACTCACTGCTACACACACACACACACACACACACACACACACACACACACATCCAGACTGGTGACAGAAGACTCATCCATGCAACACCTGCAATTTGCCAAGTGATTACTCACCTGAGCACAGTTAGGCTGTACAAGGAGAAAGATGATCTCTCTCTCTGTCTCTCTGTCTTCAGGTGAAAGGATGACCGAGCACAGAAGACAAGGGTTCACACAGAAAGGGGGGGCCTATCTTCTGCATCCAATGCCTCCCATCCCCAGAAAAAGGGAAAAGACCCCAGAAGGCAGGTGTGAACATGCTGCTCCCCACCAGGTTCCCACCAGGGAAAGGAAGGGTGCAGATGTGCGGCTGTGTGGCTCCCACTGCTCCAGGTCAGGGGTTCTGTGGTGTCCACTAATCACCCAACCCTGCATCTCCCCATTTCCTGAGACATTAGATGCTGTAGATGGGGATGGGATCCTCGGGTGAATACCCACCCCCCACTCCTGGGGCAAATTTATGGCAAGCCGTGGGCCAGAGTGTGGGGCACAGAGGAGGCGCTGGTCGTGGTTGGGAGGGGGGGTGATATGGGGTTGCAGGGAGCGGGCCTGTGTGGTCGCCACTCACATGTGCTGCTGGCAAAATCTGTTGGCAGCTGCTCCAGGTGGGGAGAACAGCAATGGCAGTGGAATGGCGGACATCAGGTCCAGAGCAGAGGACAAGGGGGCCAGGACTAGGTCAGTGCCACAAGCTGGCTAGAGGCACACCATTGCACCATTGCCTGACGAATCCAAGAGGCAAATTGGGTTTGAGCCAGCAGCACCAGGTTTGAAATGCTGTGCCACGGAGAAGGGGGGGAGGGGGCCAGAGTGCAGGCGGGCACATGGTGGCTGAGCAAGGCCTCTCCTCCTAGGCCTCGAGTCTCTTGCTCATCACTCAGCTACCTCTACCTTCCTCAACTGTTGGTAGTGGTGTCAACCAACAGATGGAATCCCAGTGCTACTGGGCAGTATGGAATGTGGGCATGGCCACCATTCTTGTATCCCATTGGTCAGAAAGAACCATGAAAGAATGGGAGTGTGGCTGGAATCCTGTGATGCAGGCAGAATGGGTGGAGTCAAGATGATGGCAGCCCCTTTCCCAGGGAACTCTGTCCAATCCAATTGGAGACAAGAAGGTTACCTGCTTTAGCCGGATGGCTGCACAGATTGGTGTGTATGTCTGTTTGTTCCCAGTCCCAGACCTTGAACTCAGGATCTGGGCACAGTCTGTGAGCTGCTTTTGATCAAGGCTAGCCCTCTACCAATGAAGCCACATGCCTTTACTTCTGGTTTTGTTGG